AAAAGGCCGACCGGGCCGAACCCGCAGAAATTAGTCCGATTAACCGTGCCCGCCGACCACTCGTACACGACTAAAACGTTTCGGTGTGGTCGGCCAAGCCAGCGCATCTGTCAGAATGATTACGAAAAGCTTAATTACCGTAATCTATCGGATTAACCCCCTAATTTTCCGGGGCCCAATCCTTAATCGCGGCCCAATACGAACACCTATAAATAGAGCCCCAACGAGGTTCGTAGTTAGTTTTTCCACCTACCGCATTTATTACACCGACCACTAACTTGAGCGTCGGAGTGTCTTTGCAGGCCCCCCCTACACTTCGGACTATTCGGAAAAGAACAAAGAGACTGAGACCTTCGACCCAAGACCCGACTCGTTACAACAAGGATAATTGGAGTGTGTATCCTAGCACATGAACAGTAGTGACGAGTTTCAAATGTGTCACCTATTGTGACGCCTTCCATGTAATCATGGCAATCGAAGTAAGAGAAAAAAAACTACACAAAATGTCAAGCCAGGTGACGTTTTCCATGCAAGCAAAAAATGTCAACCTGGCTAATGAGTTCGTCATGTAGGTTGTTGCATGCATCAGAGAAGCAAAGAAGTGTTCCTCATGCAGGTCAGTGACAATGTTGCATGCATCAAAGAAGCAGAGAAGTTTTTCGTTGACCATAAAAAACCTGAAAGTGTCACTTGGCTTGACGATTTCCATGGAAGCTTAAAACATCAGTCAAGTTGTGTTACCCTGTTTGACGCTTTCTAAGTATGGCATGCAATTTGTAGTCATGCACAAGTCGTCACCTTGTGTGATGTTTTTTTAAGTCATGCATTCCACGTGTTCGCACAAAACGTCTTCCAATTTGAAGTTTTTGGTTCTGATTTGCACAATGCACAAAACGTCAGTGTAGTTGACATTTTCTATATATTATTTTCCATGCATAAAACGTCAGTATAGATAGGCATGACAATCTAACCCGCCCCGATTTGGACAGGGGAAGCCCGTGTTTATCAGGTTTGGGTTCGAATTTTCCTCGATTGATAAAATTAGAGGCGGAGACGGGGATGTTAATATCCGCCTCGTCGCCGCCCCCGTACCCGTCCCTGCCTCCATCCTGCTTAATAATATAATTAAAAAATTATTTTTAAATATATATAAACCAAAATTATAAATATTTATATGTAAAAATTTATATTATTTTATTTATACTTATTTTTTAAAATTTGTTCTGAAAAAAAAAAATAGGACCAAGACCGGGGGCGGGGCGGGAAAA